CAAGACATTACTAGATATAATGTTTATAAGACACGGGTTTCTTACCACGATTTGCTTAATGAAGTCTCGATATTTCGGCATACATGCACCATTCAATACAGTAGTTACAATAAAAAGCACTGGTATTAGTAAAAATTAAATTTTATCGAAACATACGTTAAAATAGTATTCACTTTGCTAATATTAAAAGCAATATGGAAAGAGTACGTAGTTCCCGCACGCGCGGTATACAGCGTTTTTATAGTTTCTTAATTACCGCTGATCTTAATGTACCGTAACCACCATCTCATTAGTGTAATTAAGTTGGTCTGAACTTAGCTGCAGATAGTTCAGCGCAGGGACATAAACAGATACGACTCGTTAATGTTTTGTGATGCCGTATCTACGAACAGAAATGAAAACTAAACAAAAGGTACGTTAGCATCATTCGATAGATATTCCAGATTGATTGAATGACAAGAGTAAAAAAATTTAAATCTACCTGTGTAGAATTCCGTATTCTCTCCAATACATATTGTTTAAGATAATGTTGGTTTTGAATCTGTTAAACACTTCGTTTTATGTTTCGACTACTAGTATTATTAATACAAAATGGTCACATTTCAATTGGTATTTTAACAAGCTTTTTCTACCTATTTCAATACGAGAAAAAACCTCAAAGAGGAAAGAAACCGAACTAGTTAGTTTTTAATTAACTGTAAACGCAAAGCAATAAATTAAATTGGAATATCTATTCAACTTGCGAATAAATGGAAATGCAATTTAGCTGAAGAGAAGAAAAAAATAAGTAATTTTTTTACATCGAATTATCAATAAATTAGTAGTAATAAAATAGTATTTAAGATACATATTTTTGCAATAACATTTTCACAGATTTAGATCAAGACTTTATTCAATTATTTTTGATGTAATAAATATTTGAAAAATAATTGTACCCAAATTTCACCGCTGCAACTGATGTCGCTTCATTATAAACAAGTATCAAGAACTCTCAGTCCGTGTCAATACCTGTTGACCGAGAACTAAACTTCAAAAGTTTGGACCTAATTTATGGACTTCAAGTATAACAATTTAATTTTGCATAATCATAACTTGTAAATGAAATTTAAAACAAACCTAGCATTTTAATTCGAGAAGAATATCAAAATAACTTCTTAGTAATCGTTTAAAGATTGTAATATACATTGAAACTTTTCTAATGGCCATCGACAGTGGCCCAAAGGACAAATTCCCATAAATAATTCACAACGAATTTGCTTCCACACAGCAGTTTGACGCGATATGTTTTTAGTGTAAAACAAATGGTTTAAACAAAGAATTTTAAGTCATTACAAATTAAAATATATTTCAAACAAATTTCATTTTAACTTTATAAAACAAATTATAACTTAGTGTAAATTTATAGTTTTGTAAGTTGTACAAATAAAAATCAATGTAAAATTTAACAAGAACTATTTTACGAAATGTAGACAACGTTCAAAGTATTTTCTGTTAGTGAATTTACGAAAACACTAATAGGGGAATGCCCTAGCAGACGGCCCAATGTAATTGCTTACAATCGGCCCGTGTAACGTTAACGAGATATCCTTAACAATTAAAGTGAGGCTCGTCAAAAAGTTTTAATGACCGCTCTACTTTGTAAGAAAAAAACGAAGAAAAAGCGATTGAAAACAAGTCGTTTAAGTGGTAACTGCTACCCGAGCTGCTCTGAAATTGGTTTCTTTTACAAATCGGTTAACAACTCAATTTCAAAGAAATCCGCCTGCTTTTAATAACTTGCTTACTCGTTAATTAGAAATTATTAAAGTATTCTATAGATTACTATAGTACTGGTAAGATAAAAAGTAATAAACGAAGTAAATTTTTATTTTTTAAAATGAAGATTAAGTGCGGGCGCACACCTTTAACTAAACGTTGTGCGATTGTCGATTGTTTTGCAGCCAATTGTTTGTTACAGAACTAAAAATCGAGTAGTGTGCGCACGCCACGCCCTGTTGTATTTTTAGAGCGTGTCTTTGATTTAACTATCGCAAACTCTTTAGTCTCGCTTTGATTCCTATGAGCTTAAATATTAAAATAGTTCGCGATAGTAGTATGCGATGGCGTTGGTTCAATAAACTGCCCTTTTATAAATTTTACTATTATTAACATTTTATAATCCAATACCTTGTGATTAAGTACATGAAGATCGAAATTCCCCTTTTTACAGCATCATAAAAATATACTAAGAGCTTAAGAAAAGGGGTTCTTTGGGCTGTTTCGTCGACAGTAGTGAGATTAGATTTTTATAGGTTTAAAACAAAACGTGAGATAAGATTGGAAATATTAAAATCTTGTTTTTATAAAGGTTACAACACGACTTATTAGTCGTTGTGCTATTGCACACCTTTATAGTTTTCCTACTCACTGAGCGTCGGTGGCTCAGTGGTTTAAACACTTGACTTATATATACAGATCTTGGGATCGAATCCTGCCATATACCAATGTGATTTTAATTTTTTCGAAATTTTATATGTACATAATTTACCCGACGTTCTTACGGTAACGGAAAACATCGTGATGCCCGCACATCGTCGAAGAAATTTAAAGATATGTGTGAAGTCAACGAACCCGCACTGGGCCAGCTTTTTTGACTATGGCTTAATCACCCCCTTACTTAGGATAGGTTTGAGCCTCTCGATGGGGACGTGGAGTGAGTTGGTAATGATGATAGTTTCACTACTAAATATTTCTTCATTATTTTTGTTAGCTAAGGGCTAACATTTTGTTAATTTCTTAGTGTTTTTCAGGTACGCTCCATCATTTTCAGCGCAGTAATAATTTATTTTAATGGCAGTGAAATATTTTTCTTATAGCAATTAAATTCTAAGAATTCGAACTGCATACATTCTTTCTACAAAACTTGGCAGTTAATTTTCAGTTAATATTTAAATGACTCTATACTTTGCATTCTTACTATAAATGAAGTAGTTTTACGTGACTGAAATGTTCGCGGTTAAATGCACGAAATATATGTATTTCTTTTTCAAGGTTTATTCATAACACGCCATTATTAACAGAACATGCAATTTTTTTACTTTGAATTTCGATTTTTATCTCTGTGGTGTAAATACTACAAAACTTACTTAAAATATAAGTCATTATGTCATTTAAATATTTGTTTAACTATAGAACATATAAATTCAAAGACGCATATACTTATATTACCCAGCAGTTACAATTAAAAAGAATACTAGGAAACAAAGACTTGAATTATTTTAAGCCGCGCTAATTTTCATTGTACCGCAAACTCATTTGCATAATTAATTCACTCGCACGCGTATCCACGTTAAAATATTAAAGTTGCGGCCGATCGGTACATTTACATTTAAAATGTATCGAAGCATTGTCGCTGTGGACAAATTTTAAACAAAATGACTTTTAACAATCGCAATATCGAGGATTGCGGACAGTGGGACTAATCAAAAATTTTGCATATTGTTTGTTTTTTCAGTTACTTTTGCTTAATATTTTTTTTAAGTTATACATATTATAAAAAAAAAACTAGTAACTACAATTATTGTAATTGGTCTTCAAGTTTTCTACTAAAAAATAATACAATACCTTCATGCTACTTCAGTGCAGTTGACTAATTTTTCATTTTATAACTATGATACTTCATACTAATATTATAAATGCGAAAGTTTAGATGGATGTTTGTTAGAGTTTGTAGCCTAAACGGCTGAACGGAATTCTATGAAATTTGGCATAGACGTAGAGGATAGTCTGGAAGAACACATATGTTACTTAGTTTTGATTTTTTTTAATTCCACACGGATGGAGTCGCTGGCGAAAGCTAGTTTGACATGTTTTCTCTTTATTACCAAGTTGAAAAATATGTTTTTACGTAAATTTCAACAATATATCTTGAAGCAGAAGGTTTGACGGCAATTATGCAACCATTAACCTGTCTTAACAGTCGGGGTAAAAGCAAAATTTACTATTCTTTTAACAATAGTTTTTCTTTACGACCGGAATTTTTAAAAACATACATCCTTCTATAATTACTTAACGTATAGCATATTTCTAATATTAAATTAATTTAATCGCTGTAAGTATTTATGTATTTAATTCAATTTACCTATAAGTTTATTTTAAGCAATTGAAAATTGTGTTAATATGTTTATATGACATCGAAAGAAATAAATACTAGACAATGTATATAAGAACAACAATTAATAGCAACTGTATTTACCCTTAATATAAATTTATAAAAGTTTTCTTTCCAAAACTAATTGTTATAACTCCTCATTGTCAATTGTAGAAACAGCTGTTTCGTTAACCTGGTTAACATTTTAATAAATTTAGTGATGTACCAATATCAAATAACATCATTTATTTTCTTAAATAATAATACTATATTCTTCTTTCTTAAAGTAAATTGGATAATACAAATCACTTATCTTAATTCTTCTTATTATGTTAAATAATTTAAATCTTTGTCTCAACATTTATACGAAAACTTCAATGTATCATGAAATTTAATAACTAGTAGCTAAGACATACGGCTCTGCGTAAAATCAAAGTAAATAATAAAGCTGGACTATATATTTATCTATCTTATTTATCTAAGAATTAAATAAACTCTTCATGAGAAATAACCATTTAATAGATATTTAAATGTAATAATTATTTTAGTATCTAATTAGGCATTTAAAAGCATTTTGAAATCAGCGAATTCGACCTCTTAAACTTAATTTTATTTTAACAAAAATTATGTTTCCCATCACTATTCACAACAGTATATATTAATTTAGTGCAATTGCAAGCTATTGGGTTACTAGATTGCTATTCTGTGAATCAAAATGATATTTATAATTTTTTGTTTAATTCTATTAATTTTAATATGTCATTATAAAAGTTATACGTATTGGGGCAGAAGAAATATAAAACATGATTACCCAATACCAATATTTGGTAATCATTTTAAGAACATATTTGGATTACGAACAGAAATCGAAATGGGTAAGGAAATGTATAGAAAATATCCTAATGAAAGATTAGTTGGATATTACAGATGTAATACACCGGTGCTTATAATTCGAGATCCAGATTTAGTGAAGCATATACTAGTGAATGATTTTGTAAGTTTTTATGGACGCGGTCTTGGAAGAGATCATGAAGAAATGTTGATGCTTAATCTATTTCATTCGCATGGTGATTTGTGGCAACTATTGAGGCATGCTATCTCTCCAACATTCACATCTGCTAAACTACGAGCTATGTTCCCTTTAATCCAAAAATGTACGATAAGACTTCAGGCTGTAGCCCAAGAACTATCTGAAGGTACAAAAGAAATATCTGCGCATGAGTTAATGGCGCGATATACAATAGAATTCATAGGTTCTTGTGGATTCGGGATTGATATGAACACGTTGAATACAGATAAATCACTTTTTGTAGAACTGGGAAATATTATATTCACTAAAACGAAATGGCAAATATTTTTCTTAGCGTTACGAGAATTTTTATCGAAGAACAGTTTTATCAAAAATATTTCAGTCGCAAGAAATGAAATTATCACAACGATAATGGATTTAATGAATAACATTCGTAAAGTAAGAAACGAGAAACAAATACAAAGAAATGATTTTGTTGATATACTTTTAAAATTAGAGAAGGAAAAAGTTGTAGAAGCTGAATCGATATTAAAAAAAGACGAAAATGGTGTACCCGTTAAAATAAAGCTAAACTATACTGAAACGCATACTGCTGCACAATTGTTCATATTTTTCGCTGGAGGTTTTGAGACATCTGCAACAACATTGAGTTGGGCATTGCATCAACTCGCATATCACCAAGATGTACAACGTAAGGCTCAAGAGGAGATTGATAAAACTCTACAGAAATACAATGGAATTTGCTACGACGCTGTAACAGAACTTTCATATTTAAACATGATTATTAAGGAGGCAATAAGAACGTTTACACCAGCTGGATATATATCACGTGAATGTATGAAAAAATGTGTCATACCGGGAACTGACATCACAATAGACCCTGGCGTACTTATCAACATTCCTGTTCAAGCAATACATTTAGATCCTCAACATTTTGACAATCCTGATGAATTTAGACCTGAAAGATTTATTCCAGAAGAAGAAAGTAAGCGTCACAAATATGCATTTTTGCCTTTTGGAGGAGGTCCGAGAAAGTGCATAGGTAAGGATGCAACAATCAAAACAAAAATGACATGCGTTTTTCTTTCTTGAATTCAACTACCTTTTTTTCTCAGGTAGCCGCCTGGGCCTTATAGAGACAGTGAGTGGTCTGGCAGCTATATTGCAACATTTCACCGTATATCCGGGACCATCATCAAAACGCACTTTTAAAGTGAAACGCAATGCTTTTATAATTCAAGCTGTAGATGAAGATATACCGATATTACTTAAGCCAAGAAAATCTCTTTAAATTCACAATGCTTATTTTTAAGTTCTTTTTGTAAAAATCATCCAATAAATGATGTAAAAACTAATAAATGTATAAGTTAATGTCTTCGGATAGGTCATCACATTTTCCTGAGATTTTTCTTAGTAACAAACTAATATATCCTATGTCGTGATTCTAGACTGATTTTAAATTCGTGCTATGTGAGTCGACATCACTAACCTTACATGACAATAATCTCTTGAAAAATGAGACTAGAAAGTCGATAAAATACTAAGACTAAGTTAACGAGGTTACCGCCATAAAGAGCGATAATTTAACTTTCATTATTACGTTAGTCGATTCACTTAATAACGAAATGATTCGATCAACATCTCAACAAGTTCTTGCTGAACTGCTGGATAAACACCGCCACTACAAAAGTCGGTAAATTTGGAGCTTGTTTAATGAGGAAATACCTCTCTCTGTGATACTAGCCACTGGTTACTTGAGTCAACGTCGGCACAATCGTTAGTGGACTTTTTTGTAGAAACAAATTATTGTCTCTTAAAATTCTTAGATCTTAGGAACAAATCTATATTTGAAGTCCGTATCAAAACAGTGTAATCGATGGTTTAAGCATGTTACCTCACGATGATGCAAAAAATTGATTGAAGTCAAAAAATATGATCTGCCAAATTGGTTCATTGTAACCAAAATAAATTGTTTGACATACTCTGGGTATATTGACTAGCAAATTCAAAATTAGTCACAATACAAAATGGGTGACTTTGCACAGCTGCAATTTTATTCTTATTGAATTTTATATTTTTCATTGTATATATAGAATGGCGCGTATAAGTAATAAGAATACACATATGGTCCGATATAAAGGTCAATGTACTACGAAGTAAATAACGCTTATTAAGAACAATACGTAACGAGTTAAAATGTCAAAGACCTAAGTGGTGCCCTTTGTATTTTCACCTACTGAACCAATGAAAGTTCTTTAAAACCAAAACTCTAGGAATTGCAGAAATAAACTATTATGATTTTTTTGTCTAATTTGGATGCAAATAAAATGTCTATCAAGCCAACTTTAGCGGGAATTTAAAACGCAAAAAATATCTCTATGTAGTAACTATTCAATTGACTGATATATCAACAAATATCTGAAACTAAAAACATGAAATTTTGCACATATATTTCTACTAAGTAGACGATCACTATGAAAGTAATTTTTGAACTTCAAATGATCTAAAGTGGGCTGAAAATTCGTATGAAGATGTTATTCGGTGACTGACTTCAGACATAAACACTTTTAAGAACAAATAAATAAGTCTTTCTTGTAGGTTTTTTCAAATTCATCACTTAAAGGCCAAATTGGGGAGTGACGATGTGGGAATACCCAATTGCAAAAATCTGCACACATCAATAAAGATCGTTAAGACAATTTTAGTATTGGTTCATGGTAGGTCAATTCACTTTAAAGTGTCTCCAATTTATTTGCTTATACATCTGTCTAAACATATGTATACGGTACAACGCACTTAGAATCACTTTACACACAAGCCTGCGTCCTCACGCACCAACGTTTGAGCAAGATAAAACATAAATTTGCAAGCAAAATTACACATCCTTCTCGCTTGCACTGGTTGTCGCCGCGTGGTTTAGTAGGTCTGCTCTGACGACGCCGATGCTAGAGTTATAAGAGAAGCTCCGCGAGGCGGGTCGCATTTGGATTAAAGTGGGTTGCTTTTAAGTCCGTGATAAACTTTACACAATATTATTCTCAACATCAACGCTGTACAAAGTTTAAAGTGTAGAAATGTTTGTGCTGATTATTCTTATCGGCATAATACTGTTGTTTTTATCATCTCGTAATTACACTTATTGGTTGTCAAGGAACGTAAAATGTGATTCTCCAATACCACTTTTTGGCAATTACTACAAAGTATTATTCGGTTTTAAAACTGACATCGAGAACGTGAATGATTTATATAAAAAGTATAAAACGGAAAAAGTAGTTGGATATTACCGTGGAACAACACCAGAACTTATTATTCGAGACCCAGATATTATAAAGAAAATTCTGAATGTGGATTTCTCGCATTTTCATGTCCGTGGAGCAGGAAGAGATCCAAAATATGAACCACTTATGTTGAATGTATTTTCCACTGAAGGTGATCGATGGAAATTACTACGACATGGCCTTTCACCAGCATTCACCAGCAACAAATTACGAAACATGTTTCCTTTGATATTAAAATGTACGGACAAACTTCAAGCAGTTGCTAAGATACTAGCAAATAAAGGTGAGCAAATTAGTGCAGTAGATTTAATGGCAAGATATACAATCGAATTTATAGGTGCTTGTGGCTTTGGTCTTGAAATGAATACAATGAATACGGAAAAATCTCAATTCTTAAAATTAAAAGAAATTATTTTTACTAAATCTAAGAAACAAATGCTACTTTTTGCTCTACGTGTTTTGTTTCCTAATGTTAGTATCATAAACAAGATACCAATTGGAAATGAAGACGTACAAACTACTATTCTAGGAATTATGAATAGTTTACGTCATCAAAAAAATAATAAACCATCAGGTAGAAACGATTTTGTAGATCTGTTACTAGAATTAGAAGAAAATAAAACACTTCGAGGAGATTCTCTGGATATAAAAGACGAGAATGGATTGCCTAAGAAAGTTGAACTTGAAATGACTCCTATGATTTCTGCAGCACAATTATTTATATTCTTTGCTGCTGGATTTGAAACATCAGCTACTGCTATGAGTTGTACCTTACATCAACTAGCATTTCACCCTGATATACTGTTGAAAGTACATCAAGAAATTGATACCGTACTATGTAAATACGATAACAATATTTGTTACGAAGCTATAATGGAAATGTCTTACCTAGAAATGGCGCTTAAAGAATCTATGAGGATATTTCCACCAGGTGGTCTGACTTTTCGAATCTGTATTAAAAATTATACAATTTCAGAACTTGGATTAACCATTGAAGCTGGAACGAAAGTTATCATACCAATTCAAGCATTACAATTGGATGAAAAATATTATGACAATCCATCAGAGTTTAGACCGAATAGGTTTTCCCCTGAATCAGTAAAATTACGACATAGATATGTTTATCTGCCATTTGGTGAAGGGCCTAGAAAATGTATAGGTAATTGTTTTTATATTTACCGTTTTATAATCTTACTAATATTATAAATGCGAAAGATTAGATGGATGGATGGATGGATGTTTGTTAGAGTTTGTCGCTGAAACGGATCTCGATGAAATTTGGCATCGTATAAATTTTTCTTGGATGGAGTATCAGACGAAAGCTACTCTATCTAAAAATCTCAAGAATTCTAAGTCACCAATTAATCACTAATATCAGGGGTTTTATTTTGTCATACTAATGTGTTTTCTTTCTCAATTTCAGGTGCTCGCTTAGGAATTATAGAATCGTTGACTGGACTAGTTGGGTTGCTACAAAAGTTTACAGTAGAACCAGCGCCATCTTCCAAGAAAGATATCAAATCTAAAAAGACCGCGTACCTCGTGCAGGGGACCGATGATGGAATACCAATAAAATTGATTCCACGAAAAACAGAAAATATATAATATGTTTGGATAAATGTAGGTATCTATTGATTTACAATAAAACTATAAAATTGCAGTTGAATTTTATTTTGCACAAACTGTTGCTTTCCACTATGTCCGCGTGAAATTAAAAAATATAGCCTATGTTACTCACAGATAAATTATCTTTCTAACGATGAAAGAGTTCTTAAAATACGCTCATTAGTTTTTGAATTACTTCAATACATACATACAAATCTTTTCTCTTTATAATATTAGTATCTATAGACTTTTTATCTTTTCGTCATATTCTGCTGCCTTTAGTACTAATTGTAAAAGTCGTATTTTGTTTATTATAAATAACTAGCTTTCGCCCGCGACTCCATCCGCGTGAAATTAAAAAAAAAAGTGAGTAGCCTATGAGTTTTTTTAAACTACCCATCACGTCTATGTCAAATTTAATCGCGATCTGTTCAGCCGTTTAGGTTGCAAACTCTAAGAAACATCCATCCATCCATCTAAACTTTTGCATTTACATTAGTATGGTATGATTCAAAGGTCTTTCGGGTCAATCGTTAATGGTCTCGTAAATATTATATCCATACAATTAATTGTCATCTGTTATCGACATATCCCTTTTCTCATTTCCTAAATCCTCCCATCTAATGTGCATAATGAACCATTCGAAATTATAAATGACCGTTTATCGATAATGAGTTCCTTAATTAATTAATTTTTCGCTAAAAAAAAGGATATAAATTTTGATTTAATATTATACGTTTATCCCAACTAAGTTATCAGAAAGTTTAGTAAATATTCGTATTTTTTTTTATTTTTTTTTCTTAAATTTCATAGTTTGTCTTCTCCTTTTTAGTCTATTAATCCAAAAGAAATTATATTGTTCTATTAGTAATTAAATAATCTCGACTATTCAATCTTACTTATATTATAAACGCAAAAGTTTAGATGGATGGTTATTAGAGTTTGTAGTCCAAACTGCTGAACGGACATCGATGAAATCTGACATAGATGTAGTATAGTCTGGAAGAACATATGCTACTTTCTTTTGTTTTTTAATTCCACACGAACGGAGTTGCAGGCGAAAGCTATAAGCAAATAAGCTGCGTTGTACAAAACTATCAGTGCAATTCAATGGATATTCCATTAGCTATATAGCTACGATTTCACGTGATCAGAAAATATTAATATAATCGAAATGGTATCCAGAATCGAATTAAGCTAATGCGTCTCTGCGCCGCACGTTAACTGTTCGTAATTAATATGCGTGGAAAAATATGGAAATTCGATGTTATTGCTTCTCGTTATGCCACAGGGAAATGTCGTTTCCATTTATTTTATTAAAGTACTTACCGTAATATTTAAAGACAGTAATTGTTGCTTACTTCCAACTTTCAGATAATTTAAAATTATCGTAACAGTAATACGTCTGAATATAATTTATACTAATATTATAAAGAGGAAAGATTTGTATATTTGTATGTATTTAAATAACTCATAAACGACTGGGCTGATTCAAAAATTCTTTCACCATTACAAAGGTAATTTATCTGTAAATAACATAGGCTATGTCTTTTATTATTTTTCAATTTGACGAGGACGAAGTCGCGAGCAACAGCTGCTAATTTGTAAAGGTATTAGTAATATAAAACTAGATTTAATAAGTAACTTAATTTATCTAACACTGATGTCAATAATTTCATTTGTAAGTTTGAACTTCTATATGAGGAACATCACTAGCGTCCGCATTTCGTAGTCATATTTGAGCAAAAACTTGATGTTATAAGAGTGCTGTCATTGAAAATGTTCCAACGCTTATATGAGTATCTTGAATGTTGCTCAAGAGTGTGCGTCTGAAACTATCGCACAACGTATGTGCGCATACTACTCGATTTTTAATTGTGCAACTAAACAGTTCAATTGGGTGCGAAACAATCGACAATCGTAGAACAGTGCAGGGATAGTTGAGTCAATAGCGTGCGTCCGCTTTAATACAAAATTTAAGGGGTAGCTTAAAGAAAATTCCTAGACGATTATAAAAATTAGTCTGTGAAAATAAAAATGAAAACTTTCAAACAGTTTAGTGTGTTTTGAAATACAAAATTTATTTTTAATGTACGCGTCATATGTTAAACTTTTCTATAGAATTACGTTTGTAAAACACGACGTTTAGTCAATTAGGGGTAGGTTATTCTATCGATTATAGACAAGGTAATGGTTCTCTATAGATATCTGTCATTAATTAATATTCTGTTACCGAAACGTTTTAACAAATACCATGACTATATCAAATTGTATTTTCAAAGCTGTAACTGTAATTAGAAAAAACAAAGAGGGATATAGTAGTAGGTATTTTAAATAGTTTTTTGTTCATATAAAGTGAGCTTAATCTTTTGTTAAAAGTAAAAAAACATTCCTAGCTATATTAAATTTATTTGATTATTATATAGCTAGTGGAATTACAAAAAAAAAACAAAAACAAGTAGCCTATGTGTTCTTCCAGACTACCTACATCTATGCCAAATTTCATCGTGATTCGTTCAGCAGTTTAGGCTACAAACTAACAAACATCCATCCATTCATCCACAAACACAAACGTTTACATTTATAATAGTAAGATTGTACTAAACAGTAAAAAGGTTGACAGTACAAACTGTTTGAACCTTTTAAAAACTACTGGTAAAAGGAAAAATACTTACTTATTCCTTTTCTTGTAAGAGAATATAGGATGTGAAATGAAATGGTTTATGCTTTTAAAAAGCTTACGTACAAAGTGATGCTGGATTCTATTACTTTATCTAACGTGCGTTTGTTTTAATGGCGTAGTCGGGATAAACAACCTTTGTTGATGCTACGAGTTAGCTTGCTTTCTCCTTTAATATAAATGAATAAAGCTTCCTTTATTATCTGTTGCTTTTTATTAGCTATTCCAAGATACGCGGCTATTCTTCAAATTAAATGGACTAGGCCGACTACTGAAACACTTTGAAAGCGCTTCTTACAATCCGATAGACGGTAAACTATGCGTCAATTATTTAATACAATATTACATATTTAATATCGTTTCAGTATTCGTCCGTAAGGTACTGTGTTTGATTGAATTTTAATCAATCTATTTTTTTAATTAATAAATAAAAAACGATCTAATTACAACACAAAAATGTAAATGTCGCTTATGTCAAAGGGAGAAATAGTAAATTATAATAAAATTATTTTTCAAATTAGGATCGCTTCCAGTAAATGTAATATTATGGTTAATGTAACGGCAGCATCCCCTTGATATTTGGTCACACGTAAATCTACGCAGTGGCCGCTCTCTGGGAAAATAAAGGGGCTGTTATTGCCACTAAAACTTTTCAAATGACCACAATTACTAACATTGTGTCGTAAGAGACTTTCCCATAAAGAATTCATGATTACTTACTCTGCTGTTCTCTAAATCTTTTTCAATTTGGATATTACGTAACTTAATTTTTTTTGCGATTATAATTTTTTTAAACAATCTACTAAACTCCACAGCTTATTTTAAACAATTTGATGAATAAAATAAACTGACTTAGAAATATTTAAGACCATGCCTTTTACGAAACTATTGCACAACTGTTGTGTCGATTGTTTCGCAGCCAATTCAACTGTTTAGTTGCACGACTAAAAATCGAGTAGTGTGCACACCTCCATATAAGCTCATAGGAATCAAAGCGCGACTAAACAGTTGTGCGAGAGTTTGGTACAGGTGTGCGCACGCTCTTAGAATTCGGCATTCAAAATTAAATTTATTTCCATTATTGTCACTGTTGTTTTAGATGGCATTTAATGATTAAATTTCTTCACATCCTTATATGAAATTTTCTCTTCAATCGTTTGAAATTAAGTGAATCGGAAATAAAGTTCATCGAATCGACACTAATTGGACGCAATTCACATGAATCATCCTCGATTCTGTGAAGTTGGACGTCACTTTGATCCACATACGACAGTATAATTAAGACTAATGTTTTGCGATTTAAATATATTTCTCTATTAAAAAATAATCTAAAGTCTCGCTTTGATTCCTATGACCTTATACGCACACTACTCCATTTGTGCAACTAAACAGTTGAATTCGCTGAAAAATAATCGACAATCGCACAACAATTGTACAATAATTTAGTTTCATGCACGCTCTATAGAACTATTATTTATAATAGTATGTGGTTTTAGTTTTTTTAAAACGGTTCTCTACTCAGAAATGTTTATCACCACTGTCAGTTTTCCAAGAGGTCATTATACGAAATTAATTGTGTTACGCGCGGATTTTATCTGATGTTTAAAATAGATTTCATATAGCAATGCTAGAGTTCTACAATTCAGTCAAATTTTTTTTGCTAAAATATGTGTTAAGTACAAAGGAAATTCGAATAAAGTTTATGTTGTGGTTTTAAATTCGAAGTGCGCATCATCGACACTTAGGATGGCGGAATCTAAAATGCCCATTCGTCGGTATTAATATCCACCAAATTCCAATTTATACGTTTACATTATCTGTGTCGTTCGTTGCAAAAACGAAAATCCTATTTTGCAATTTCCCTCTTTAAATGGGACATTTTCCGAAGGTAACATGCTTTTTAGAGTAAACGCCCGCTGTAAATAAATTACAATGCATGTTTTGCGGCATTAACTGATATATGGTGGTTACATTTTGCGTGGCGCAGCGCTGCGAAGGCGGCGACATGTCCCGCTATTAAAATAAATTAGAATAAATTATTTTTATGCACCCGTTATTTTTGCCAAAGAGTGTTTATAATTTTTTTTCATTACAAAATTGTATAAAACATTGCATGTACTTTAAAAGACTCAAATGAATTTTAGTAAGAATTCAAAATACTCTTATAAAATCTGTTTTTTATTGTTAATCGGAGTATTTCTCTCGATTGCTTCTACTAAGTTAATTTTTAAATATTTGTCTAAAACAACAATTGTTAAATGAGATTTATTATTCGTTACTTTATACATAGGTGCCTTTGTTATACATTTAATTTAACCAA